TGTGCCAATACCTGATTTGAGATGAGTAGCGCCTTGACCCCCTTGAACGCCGCCGCCTCCCTCGGGCCCCATGACCAGGGCTCTGATTTGTCCAGGAGGCAGTGAAGAGGCTCCACAACCACAGCCTTGTGTGGCAGAAAGGCGTGAAGTTCTGGCCTGAAGTTCTGCCTTGCATGTGGGTCTGGGGGCCTCCACGATGGCCTTGACCTTGTCCTTCTGGGCCTTGGCCTTCATCCTTACAATTCCCGAATGCGCCTCGTGGGGAGTGTGGAGGACTCGCTGTCACAGGGCGTGGGGAACTACAACCCTGTCGCCCCACAGGAGACAGCCCTTGAGCACCAACAGTTCATCCCTTTGGGTTGAGAATGCTGCAAACTCAGGGCCTGTGGAGGGTGTAGGCCACCCGCTCACCACCCAGCCCAAAACCCAAAAGATGATGGGGTCACGGGCCGATGAGGCAGCGATATCCATGGCCTGAAGGGGTGGCTCAGGGAGGCCTTCAAGCATCAGTACCCCTGATGCGGGGGTGGGTCTGCATCTCCAAATAGGAGGGGCAGTCTGCTGCCATTGCTGTTGCCTCATCCACTGGCAGTTGTTGGTAAACCTGCGTGAGATCCAACTTGCCAAAAATCTTAGTCCCTGCTAAGGAAGCCAACACATGAGTCACGACCGGGACAGGGTAGGCATGGTCTTGGAGGGCCTTATTCAATGTATATTTATAGTCTGCGCAGATGTGGACATCTCCCACGGTGCATGGGAGACCAGTTCGAGCACCCCTTGTGCCACTAAACGGTCCAGCTCTGCATTGATTTTCGGCCACAAAGTGAGCGGGGTGGGGCAGAACCACATGCAGATGGGGGCAATTTGGGGGTTGAGTTGCAATGAAACAGGGGGCCCCTTGTAACAACCCAGAGCCCCATCAAAGACCGCAGGGAATTCCCCGCAAACCTCAGCAAAATCCCGCAGCTCACATTTATTCACACTCCCCGACTGTGATGCCCAAGAAGAAAATAAATCTCATACAAACAATACTGATGCACTCACACATTCAATCAAGTTCCTTAGAAATACAGTATTAAAATAAGCACTGTTGCATTAGCAGGTGGGGTGATGATGGGCAATATTTATCTGTCTTCGCAGCTTTGGTTGATCAATTAAGAATGGATGGGAAGAAATAGAAATCTAGGGAAAATTCACCCTTCCACAGATATGATGGAAGCTGCTGACTCTGAGGCCACTTCCATTTGGCAGAGGGACCCCTCAATCATGACCTGGACGTGGATCTTTGGGGCCGCGGGCAAGTTGGGGAGGTGTAGTACCTGTAGTGAGGGCTGGCTGGTCAGGAGGTAGAGATCGTCCATTCCCTCAGTGACCTCATAGTGCACGGAGGCCTGGCAATGTGGTTGCGGCTGGAGTGGATGGTTTCAGTTGCCCTTGGATCTGCAGACACGGGTGAGGTGTCCTTGTTTTCCACATGTGTAGCAGCTGGGGTCACAGAACTGGCACGACTTGAGCTCATGCGCCTCTCCACAAGTGGTGCACGGGGAACGTCCAGCAGGCTTACCAAAGTGTCCAGAGGCTCCGGCGGATCCCAGTGGCTTCCGGCAGTGGGGTGTGCAGACAAGGCAGACATCATCCTCATCTGAGGTCTCAAGCGCCGAGTCGGGAAGCACGAGATGAGATGCGGCCAGTGGTCAGTAGTGGTGGGAGGCCTCATGGGCGATGGCGAGCTGGGGGGCCTCATTGAGTTTGATGTCAGATGTGCTGATCATCTTTCTGCGGCGCTTCACATCGCTGATTCCCCAGGCTAACTGGTTCAGAGGTTCTCCTCCAACTTGGAGAAGTCACATTCCATAGCATGTTGGCATAGCGTGGCCATGAATGCTGCAGCCATCTCACCGGGCTTCTGGATGCGCCCCTGGAATTCCATCCACTTGGCCAGCATCATAGGCTTGGGCATGAGGTACCTGGTCAAGGCGTCTCTGATCTCCTCGTACGTACACTCGAGGGTAACCTTCGGGGCCAGGAGGCTCTTTGGAAGTCGGATGGTTTTCACGCCACAAGAGCTGAGGAGAAGATCCCTTCTCTTGACCGCATCAGTTATCTCATGGAAGGCGAGATGGCATGTTAGCGGGTCCATCCACAAATCCCAGAGCTCGGGATGAGTGGGTTCGAAAACCTTGAGGTGTCCTGGAGCGGAGGCCATGACTCTAGCACAGAGCGGGGGAGCGGTGTTCAGCAATGCCGGGCACGGTGCAGTGCTGCTTGGGAGCGGTGCAGGGCGCAGTGGTGTTTCTGGAACAATGCTTAGTGCTGCGCTGGAAGGTGAGCCTGGCCTGCTCATCAGAATCCCACCTTCATCACCACTGAAAAGTACTGGGTTTGATGCATGGAGAACTCGGACTACGACATGCGTTCAGACGCGTTTATTGTACTTCACACAAGACAAGGAAAAATGGCCCTGCAAGGCCAACTATATACACTCCACCCGGCATCACATACATAACACAGGGCTAACCATACTGTTAATTGTCTGCTCATAAGACTGACACTGGAACATGTCGATATGTTAATTCTTCTGAACAAAAATCAGTGGCAGAACAGATAACATGGAAGAGCAAGCATAGGACCTGCAAGAATTTATGGGAGGAATTTCATACCCCCCCTTCCACCCATTATTTCCTATTTCCCTTCCCTACCAAAGCCTGTTCCCTGTTCCTTCTTCCTTCCCTCCCACCAGCTAACCTACCTTTATCTGCCCCCTGCCTTTAGCCTTCCCTCCCCCAGCAGACTCTCCCTGGCAAAACTCTGTGAGGTGCCAGACACTGGACCAGCTGGCAGCCCGGGTGGATTAGTGCTGGGCAGCTCACTTTCCCCTGTATCCCCTCCCCATACTGTTTCTTCTTTCTCTCCTCCTGGCAACCTGCAGAGTTTGACTTTTCCATGATTTCTTGTCTTCTCCCCATCCGCTCATCAACCTACCTTTTATCTGTCCTTTATTATCAGCTATATTTATTTATACCCCTCCTTTTTCCACAGTGGGGACCCAAAGCAGCTTACAGAATTCTCCCCTGCTCCATTTTATCCTCACAACAACCAGTGTTCCCTCTAAGCTGAGCTAGTGTGAGCTAGCTCACAAGTTTTTTGCCTCTGGCTCACACATTTTTGTCTTAGCTCAGGAAGGATGGCTCCAGAGCAAAATAATTTATGCAGTATACAAATCACTTGCTCACAACTTTAATGCCAGTAGCTCACAAAGTAGAATTTTTGCTCACAAGACTCCACAGCTTAGAGGGAGCATTGACAACAACCCTGTAAAGCTGGTTAGGCTGAAACTGTGTAGCTGGCCCAAGGTCACCCAGTGAGCCTCCATGGCATCCAGACCTTTGTCCAAAGCTCTAATTACTAGACCACACTGGCTGCTTTTAATAGTAACAAGCAGCAGGCCTGGGTAAGTCATACAAGTCAGAAGGTAGCAAGTTGCCTGGGCTTGATGCCAGGCCTGGTCCCATGAGTCATCCCTCAAAGGCTAAAACAGTCCTGGAAAGGGCCCCACCTTGCCTTTTACTGACCAAAACCAAGGCTGGAAGGGTGATAATGCTACTATAGTTGCCTAGCAAAGGCCACTGAGGGCATTTTTTTCTTAAAGGTACAGGTGCTGATTCAATTATCTTGGGCAGGAGGGTTAACACACACACAATGTATTTTGTTTAGGGCTTTTTTTCAGATTTTGCTGCAAGGCTGGGGCTTTACACTGGTTTGTGTCTTGTCTCCCATTACTGGATTGAACTAGCCACAGATGTTGACCACGTTAAGAATTAGATATATTGATATGTATGTGGGCTAGACAAATTGTGAACTTTTAAATGTCTAAACATTTAAGCGATAAGATTACAAGTAATCAAAACATCCAGGAGGTTTACTTAAAATAAAGAACTAGTTATGATCAATTAATTGATGTACAGTGAAAACCTACTAAATTCAAATTCGTAACCAGACTTTTTGTGGAAATTGGGCAAGTGAAGATTGGGAAACTAAATTTATCAGCAGCCTGCACACATGAGCAATGTATCAAACTGTGTGGTATTTCTGCTCTTCTGACCAACACCTTATTGGCTAACAACTCCTAGGGTTGTTAGGTCAGCCACTATTAGATCCAGACCTTTTTCAGTAGCTGATTCTGTTCGATGGAATAGCCTCTCTGAAGCTGTTAGGGAGGTTTCTGCGTTGCCGAAATCCCACAATCAGTGTTCCCTCTAAGCTGAGTTAGTGTGAGCTAGCTCACAGTTTTTAGCCACATTTTTGTCTCAGCTCAGGAAGGATGGCTCCAGGGCAAACTAATTTATGCAGAAGCCAAATCACTTGCTCACAACTTAGCTCACAAAGTAGAATGTTTGCTCACAAGACTCCACAGCTTAGAGGGAGCATTGCCTACAGTATGTGCAAAGTTGTTCAGAAAGGCTTTTGGCACTGCTACCCGACTGTGTTTTGTTTTGGGGGTTTTTTGTAAGAACAGACAGGTCTTGCTAACATGGATTTCTAATTTATATTGTTTAATAATCACTGTAATATGCCTTTAGCCCAGTTCCAGATTGAAGTGGGTAAAAAATGCTCTAAATAAAAATCAATGGGCATATTCTGTATCTCCTAAATCCTACTGAATTGTCTTCTTTTTCATATCTTCTCTTTTGATAACACAATTTGTTAACAAATCCACTTCAATTTATAAAATTTTAATACGTCTTAATCTGTTCCTTAGACTGAATAACCAAATCTTAACATCCAATTGTCATGTGTAAATAATGTCTTCCTCCTACAAAGGAGTCACTACTTCCATCTGTCAAACAAAACTATGTTCTCTACAAAACCAGATATGCATCCAAAGTCCATTGGATTTCAGGGGATTCAAATCTGAAAACCTGGAAGTCAGTTCATATACTTTCACAAAGCTTCTTTCAGCAGCTACAAAAGAACAGAGAATGCTGGAACTATTTTCTTACCTTCTGTGCTGCGCTCTCCATTCTCAGCAAGAAATACTGGCACAATCACAAGCAGTACCTGAGCAACAGGTTAACAGAAGGCTGCAATCAAACTTGTCACTTCATTGAGACATCCCAAAAGACAGGTTTATATATGTGCATTCTGAGCTCCACCCTCCATGACTCCTGGAAGTGGAGAGGATGCATACTCCTAGCATGAGAAATGTCTGAAATACCCATGTTTCAGTATCATCAGACTAGATTGGTTGCTTGTAATTTACCTTGCTTATTTCACAAAGACATGATCTTTCTTCACAACTATGCTACATTCAATAGTAAAAAAAAAATGCAACTTTTACCAATGTTGCTGGGATGATACTATCTACCTGACATGCAGGGCCAGCCTGTTATTGTTAAATTTTAGACTGTCGCCCAGGGCGACGACTCAACAAGGGCACCATTTTGGCCGGCCTTATCCCCTCCTTGCCCCGCACAGGAAGCCTCCCTTGCCAGTTTCTTGCTCCATCCCCAGCAAGAGACTCCCCTCTTTGCAGCCCCCCCCAACTGAAAGCGAAGGAGGTGGGGGGACAGGCGCGGGGAACAGCCTGGGATGACGGGAAAGTGCCGCTCGCCCTCTGCTGCCCCTGCCCCCGTGGTCTCTTTGGAGCTCCTGGCACAGGCCTCCTCCCCCTCCCCTCGAGCGATCCCACTCCCCACATGCATTTGCAGCTCGCCCCCTCGGACCGCCTGCTGTGGCTCCCGCACCCGAATGTATCCTCGCCTAGTAGGCGAAAAAACCTGGGGCAGTCACTGCTGACATGGTGCTGCTTTTCAGAAATATACTAATATATGGGGAGTAACAGGTTCTGTGATAACGTACATGGACTAAATGTGAAGGTAAGTGGTAGGGGAAAATATGTATCTTGAGGCTAATATTTCATGGTTCACATAATTAGCTTGCATGCAGCTATACTGTGGAAGTCTTCATGTAACACTTAAGAAGTGCCATGCATTTTTCTATCTGGTGGTATACTTGGAGCATAAACCACGAGCAGTGTTCCCTCTAAGCTGAGTTAGTGTGAGCTAGCTCACAGTTTTTTAGCCTCCGGCTCACACATTTTTGTCATATCTCAGGAAGGAGGGCTCCAGAGCAAACTAATTTATCCAATAGCCAAATAGCTCGCTCACAACTGTAATGCCAGTAGCTCACAAAGTAGAATTTTTGCTCACAAGACTCCACAGCTTAGAGGGAACATTGACCACGAGTATAGTATGGTTTATTCTTATAAGATGAGGGCCACAAGGAATCAGAGGATGCAGAATTTGGAAATCCCACTTTGCTTCCCAAAATCTCCCCCATCCAAGATTCTCTAACTGCAATTATTCTTGACATTCTGAGCTCCTGGAACATACTCAGTCCCCATAGGCTGATGGGGTGGGTGATGGACTATTCTTTGCCTTTTGGTTAATGTACAAAGTCACATTGACAACATCCCAAATAAGTAGAGAGCACTACCTTGTCTGTGGGCGATTTGCTGATTTTGTGCTTTGCATAGAGGGGGACTGAGAGTCAGCCACCTCTTTATTAAACAAAAGCATAAATGCTTAGCTTCCTTTTCCTTCATGGTTCTATCACAAGACTCAGAAGTCACCCTGCTTTAACAGCTGTTTTCACTGAGGTCCTTTCCACACTTGGATCTCATCCCTGGTTTTATCAGAGTTCAACTCACAACACAATACCTTGCATTTATCCCTGGTTATAACAGCATCCGTTTATCCCGGAACAAGTGTGGGGTGAAACCGGGGTGACCTCAATGTCATGTGGAAACAAAAAAAATACCCTGAGATAATTACAGGGGTGAACTCAAGTGTAGTGTAGAATGTAAGATCAGGGATAGGATTGAATCAGGACTTAACGTCTAGTGCAAAAACACAGTGAATCTAAACTAATAGCCCTGCATACACATCAGATTTTCATGGCCTACTCAGATCCTGATTGATTATTTGAAAGTTACTGTCTAGATCTTATAGCATACTACCAACAGACAATCTTGGGTAAAGCCCTGTTTTGTGTGTGTGTGTGTGTTTTGCATTCAGCAATGTTTCCCATTTCCCAAAGCTAATGCATGCAGCAGATGACAGTAACACTGGTCTAGCCCTCAAAGTCAGTTTCCCATCTGTGAGTGGAGATTTACCATGGTGGGATCCAACCCACTGCTCTTACTAAAGCAGAAAGCTGTGTATGCTTGGTAAATTAATCACTTTGCCATGGACAGAACTGCCACTTGCTTCTGGAAGCTAGTAAGCAAGTTAGTCCTTTATATGCTAGAACTTCAAGTTAGTAACTCACTTAACTTTGTGCTTCCTGGAACTTCAGAAATCATGCTCACCTGTCAAGCAAAAGAAAAAAAGAAATTAATTATTATGTATTTTTTGTGCAATGGACAATAGAACTGAAAAATCAGTTCCATTCAACAAAAATGCCTTTACCTATCCCTTCACTCGTAGACATTGCCTTGGATAGAAAACTGGATTGGAATGAAGCGGGAGGGGTTGGCATTCAAGCTAGCCAGAGACAGCTTACAATTAAAGTAGAAAAGACTGAGATCTGTGATCAACTCACCTGTCTCTTTAATTTCAATGAATGGGCAGGGCTCATTAGGATCACAGGCTTCTCCTTTTACTGGACAGGTAGAAGCACTTATTCAGATATACCAAAACAACCTCTCTTTTAAAAGGAAAGTGCCTACTTTGGCAGAGGTTGGAGATGGAAAATACGAGATTGCATAAGGTCTATTGGGCAGAAGCTAGAGTGGGAGAGAAATGATTGGCTGAGGTCAATGGCCTCAATAAACACCTTCTGCTTAAAGAAAAGGAAGCATCAAAGTACAGCTCTGTGATGGATTGCACAGAAAAGCAGGCTTTTAAAAATGCTGCTTGTATCAGAGAGTCAGGGAATTCAAGCATTAATCTTCCCTGGAGATAAGAGCTATGAGATTTACTGCTCGACTTATTATTTGATTTGCCAGCATCAGCTGAGAGAGGAAATAAAACAGCTGATCTGGAGGAAAAATAGGTCTTTTGCTGTTTGGTCTTTCGCCATTTGGTCTTTGTTTGAAAACTAATATCTGGATCAGTAGCCAGAGGATTTGGCTTCTGAGGGAAGAGACATTTGGAAGGCAGTGTTTTCTGACAGGCAATAATCAGAAAAGTACCTCTAAAGAGAGAAGAAGAGAAACCCCATTGTCTTAAATATATTAAAACGGCTCTGAGGGAGAATCTAGATTCTCAGTCAGGAAAGCTACAGAACAGCCTTATACAGACAAAGGATATCAGAGAAGGATTTGGCAGAAGGTCTGGGTAGTTAGAGTGAACTCCCATACATGCCAAGTAGTAAAAGGAGTTATTGCTTCTTAGGGACAAGGAGAATACTTCCTGCCAGTGAAAGGGGTTGGGAAGAGAACCCTGGTCTTTGATAAAGAGGAGAAGCTTAGAAACCTCAGGAGTTCATGAAAAGTTGTAATGTCTAAAAGAAAACCTGGAACTCTGAAGGAAGAACTCTAGAAACTTTAAGCAAATGCTGTCCTCCAGAAGAAACATATGAACTGTGTTAGTACTGAAATATACTAAACAAAGGGTGCATTCAGACAGGCAGCAAATCCAATCATTATGCCAGTTTGAATTTTATCCCAATCTTTTTAATCCATCGTAGTACGACCAGACATCCCCTTGGTGAATCGCCTTACCGTGCACTGCCTCTGTCGTGGATTGTCTAGATGGCATCCACTGAAGGAGGTATGCATGGTGGGTTTTTTAAAAAAACTTTTTGCACATGTGCATAGGCGTCACAGCCCGTCCTTGTTGAAGGAGGCGCACGGTGGGTTTTTAAAAAACTTTATGCGCATAGACGTGACAGCACATCCTTGTTGATCCGTGCATGTGTAGAGATTTTTTTAAATGGCGCCCACTCAGGATGGTCTGGTGTCAGACCACCCCGACGGGAGGATTGCGCACTGGTGGAACCATCAGACGGGTGAAAGTCCACAGTTGTCCCACAGGTAACTGAAAACCCCAGGCAATCGTGCCTCGCGTGGATCTAAAGAGCTATCTGATCGGACTCAAAGAACCTCTCAAAGAAAGAACTAGATAACCTTGAAACAAAACTACAACGCTCTTGAATGGTCTAAGAATTCAACTCTGTATATATATTAGAAAGTTCTTTTACCTCAGCAAACTCAAAACCTTGACTAATTCTTTTATACATATACTAGGAAGAATGCCCATTGTAGAACCGAAGACAACGGGGTGCTAGCCTGGCCGCGGGTGCGGGTCGCCGTCTCCATCTGGCCCTCTCCCGTACTCTTCCCCGGACCCCTCTCTTTGGCCCTCCCTCCGCGTGCTCGAGGCCCCAGCGGGCCAAGCTGCCTGGCCTCATCCGTCCCCACCACGGGGCGATGGAACAGGCTGGGCCTGGCTCCCCGGCCGGCCTCAGGTGCGGTGGCATGGCGCCATCTCCCCTCATCCACAGACCGCATGGGGGAGGCTGGGTGGAGCCGGCCACCTCTGGTGCCTTTCCAGGCGGCTGGGCAGAGCCAGCACATGTCAGCCTGGGCCTCCTCTTGGCTGGTAGCAGCTCCTGGCTGCCATGGCTCAGCAGCAGTGGCATGGCCCCGTCTGGAGCCTGCAGGCCTAGTGAGGGTGTCTGGCCAGTGGAGCACCCGGCCCGGGCCACGGCTCGAAGGAAACTGAGGGCAAAAGGGTGGCCACTGCCTCCTTGGGTGGGAGGACACCCACACAGGTAGCAGCACAGCGAATTGAGAGAGACGTCCTGTGAGTGATACACCAGGGTGCCAACCAATTCTGGAGCATGTGGAATGTTCTAGAGAAGTGCCACCACCATTCGGCTTTTATTTATAAGGGAGATTCCCTGCCTGTTTAATAAAATATTCTGTTTTCGAAAGTTAATTATCCTCAAGTGCCATTTCTCAAGGGTTTATAAAACAGGACAGCTCCTGTCTTTCCCTCAAGTTCCCTCAAGCCTAAACCAATATCTTAACAAATGGTGGGACAGTTTCAAGACATATCAGCAAGAAAAGATATAAGTGTTA